GCGACGACGACGACGCGGGCGTCGAGGCGCGTCTCGGGGGGTGGGGGCGCTTCGGTGCGCGGTGGAGACGTCGCGACGGCGCCGCGGCGACGGTGGCGCGCGGCGGGTACTTTGATGGGTGGACGATTCGGCGCGACGACGACGGTTCGGCGCGCGCGCGCGGACGCTCGAGGGCGAATCGAACGCATGAGATGACGTTCGAGAGCGCGGCGGAGGCGCGGTTGTTTTGGCGGTTCGCGCGGGCGCGGGAGGCGCGGCGCGGGCGCGGATGGATGGGTTCGGGCGACGACGCGGACGCGGCGGCGGACGCGGCGGACGCGAGATACGGACGCGGGACGCGTCGAGGTGACGTGGATGGGTTCGGGACGGAGGTCACGCGCGAGGGGTTTTACGCGCGGGCGTCGTGCGCGCATTGCGTCGCGCTCGGATTACGCGCGCGGGAGTTCGTGACGTGGGACGCGCTCAAGGAGGCGCTTCGTCGGCGGGCGTTGGAGTGGCATCCGGATAGACACGCGGACGCGAAGAAAGCGGCGGCGGAGGTGAGGTTTAAGCGCGTGTACGACGCGTACGACGCGCTGAGCGCGTTGCGGGGGTAGAGAGATTTGATGAATGTATTCGTACCGGTTCCGCTACGGGGGCGCGAAATCTCGCGAACGCGCGTCGTCGTCGCCTCGCCCCGCGTCGCGCGACGCGCTCACATCATCGTGCAGCATTGATTTTGTTTCTTCGCCTGCTTGTAAAACATCTGACTCGCCAGTGACAGATCGGTGCTCTTATCCACTAAATTATCGAGTTTCTCCCCTCGCGCCAAGACGCCGTCGATCGTCTTGTGCAACACCACCTTGGTGTCGTCCAACTCTCGCTGAATCTTCAAAATCTTATCCGCCGCGCTCGGGTCTTGAAACTTCACCAACATCTCCTCCAACATCTCCGCGCTCGCGTCCGAGTCCGCCGTCGTCGCTCGCCAATTCGCCCCGAACGCCCGCGTCTCGTACTCATCCATCATCTTCGCCAAGACGCAAAACGCGCTTCTCGACGGATACTCTCGATCCATCACCGCCACGGCGACCAAGCCACCTTTATTCGACACGTGCACCATGTACGCGTCCTGCTCCACGCTCTGCCTCGCCCCGATCGGCGTTCGCTTGGCCACCGTGCGGGAGATGAAGATGAGCATCTCTCGCACGCTCGCGCGTTGGAAAAAACCAAACTCAGCGACGTCGCACGCGTGCCCCAGCGCGTGCGGGTCCGCGTCATCGCCGTTGTGCTTCCACAGCGATAGCGCGGTGACCTTCATCGCCGGCGCGTCGAACGATGCGGGGCGAGTCGAGGCGGGCGGCGTCTCGGCGCGGATCTCGCGAAGGACGCGACGACGACCGCGACGACGACCGAGACGACGATCGATGCCGCGTGCGAGCGAAAGAGACGACAAATACAACAGTACGACGCGACGCGACGAAGTCACGGCTCGACGGCGACGGAGGATATTTTTCTCGCGCGGGCGTCGTAGAGCGCCAACCCGCGCGCGTATTCCTCGACGCGACACCCGCGAGGGGTGCGAACGGTCACCGGTCCGAGCCCGCTGCGCGCCTCCACGCACCGCCGTGCGACACGTTCGCAGTGATCTTCCCACCCGCAATCGTCGAAGAAGAGCATCTCGTCGTACGGCGCGCCCGTCTCGCGTCGCAGAATTGGAAAATGCGTCGCCGACTTGTCCGAGCTCAGCGGCGGCGAGCGACCGATCTGTAGATTTCCCTCGAATCCCTCGGGCCAACCGATGGCGAAAGCGGCTCGAGCGGTGAGCCCGGGTAGGATTTCCAACTGATCCAGCGCGCTTCGTCCGATGCGCGTCGCGAGCGGCGTATCCGCCGAGCTCGCCGCCGCCATGCGCATCGTCCCGCACTCCCCTCGCGCGAACGCCTGCATCGCGCGCAGCGCGCCCGGGTGGATCCGGATGACGTGGCTTCCACTCACCGCGCCGACGACGCCCTCGCCGACGTCCGCGCCGAGCGATCCTCGGACGTTCTTCGCGGGGTCGACGACGTCGCGCAGCGTGTACATCTCCTCCGTCCAGAAACACGCGTCGAGATCGAAGACGCAGAGCGTCGGGAAGATCATCGCCGACGCGTTCGAGGCGCGAGGGAGCACCGAGCGGGCGCGAGGACGATTCGGGCGCGCGGTCGCGAGCGGTGCGTCCGCGGCGAGCGCGCGCGGCATGCCGGACACTGCGGCGG